CTGCAGTGTGCTGCAGCCGTCTTCCATCTGTTTTCCAGCCAGACAGTTCCTGTCATCAACACTGATTGGCTCATGTAGGGAAGAAGTCTTCTTGAAATTAAGCTGTGGGGTTAAAAGTGTTCTCAAAGCCTGTTGACTTCTCTGGTGGCGCAATGGTTAAGAATCTGCCCGCCAATGCAGGGGACACGGGTTCGAGCCCTGGTCCGGGAAGATCCCACATGCCGCAGAGCAGCTAAGCCCGTGCGCCACAACTACTGAGCCTGCGCTCTAGAGCCCACAAGCCACAACTACTGAACCCGTGAGCCACAACTGCTGAAGCCTGCGCGCCTAGAGCCCATACTCCACAACAAGAGAAGCCACCGCAATGAGAAACCCACGCACCACAACGAAGAGTAGCCCCCGCTCGCCGCAACTAGAGAAAGCCGGCACGCAGCAATGAAGACCTAATGCAGCCATAAATAAATGAATAAATAAATTTTAAAAAGAAAGTAAAAGCAAGCTTTAAAAAAAAAAGTGCTCTCAAAACCCACTGGTCAGCAAGGACGTACTAAGTCCTACAGGTTGCCCACTTCTGTACTAGGGGGCTGTGAGGTACAAGAAAGTAGACACCATACGATCATTACCCTCAAGGAGCTTCCAGGCAGGCTGGAACACAGGAGTACTGTTCATGAAATAGTAAGGCAATAAATAAGAACCTGCCCTGGATATCTGCGATTCTAAATTGTTCTTGTTCTGTTCATGCATTTGTTTGTATTGCGTTATAATTTATGTACAGGTAAATGCACAGATCTCAAGTATACAGCTCACTGAGCTTTGACTAGTGCACACGTCTTTGTAAATCACAACCCCGTCAAGATACAGAACATTTCCATCACCGGAGAGAGCGCCCTCAGCTCCCTTCCCAGCCAAGCCCTACCACTACCAATGGCGACCACTGTTCCGATTTCTTTTACCACAAATTAGCTTAGCTGTTTCTTAACCTTCGTTTTAAAAAAAAAAAAAAAGAAGTCCTACAGTTGTATGTGAGATTTTTACTTTGTTTTGAAGTGAATTTGTTAGTCTTATTTATGACTATTTTGATAACTTATTTGTAGCTATTTTATAAGGAAAGCAGCTTTTGGATAGACATCCAATTTTAAGACAATCTATAACCTTTGATATTGGCTCAGTTAATTAGAGCTCGATTAGTGATGATATAGTCAGTAGATTTATCATCACAAGATTAATAAGTAAAATCAACCTCTTTTGTTAAACATAGCTTCAACTATAAGTTTAAAAAACACAGCATTCCACACAGCTATTTTAGCAAGTATATTTTTCATGACAAGCATCCATGGTCTAAAAGTTACAAGTCAGCTGTCCTTAAAATTATTAAAACATTCCAATTATTAAGTGAGAACTTCTGCTTTCTAAGAGACTAAGGATAGATGTAACTGAATTGTCTTGGTTTTATACGCATCGGCCAACTTTCTTCCGTATCATTTTCCGCAAACGAAGAGTAATGATGTAGCCAGTGTTTTCCTTTAGCAAAAGCACGTAGACTGGGGCTTCCCTGGTGGCGCAGTGGTTGAGAGTCCGCCTGCCGATGCAGGGGACGCGGGTTCGTGCCCCGGTCCAGGAAGATCCCACATGCCGCGGAGCCTGCGCGTCCGGAGCCTGTGCTCCGCAACGGGAGAGGCCACAGCAGTGAGAGGCCCGCGCACCGCAATTCTCCTGGAAAAAAAAAAAAAAAAAAGCACTTAGACTAATAGTTTCTCCTATTCTCAGATATCCTGCTTTAAAAGTAAAACCTGTGCTTTTTGGTTTCAGGGTCAGTTTTTTGTTTCATACTTAATTCTGCATATATCCTATGTATTGATTCTACAACTGCATTGTAGAAGTTCAGAAAAAAGCCATGAAAAAAGAGTGAAACCATGTCATTTGTGGCAACATGAATGGACCTAGAGATTATCATACTAAGTGAAATAAGCCAGACAGAGAGGTAAATACCACATGATATCAGTTATATATAGAATGTGAAAAACAAAAAGAGATACAAATGAACTTATTTACAAACCGGAAATATAACCACAGACATAGATAACAAACTTACGGTTACCAAAGAGGAAAGGGGTGGGAAGGATAAATTAGGAGGTTGGGATTAACATATACACACTACTATATATAAAGTAGATAACCAACAAGGACCTACTGTATAGCACAAGGAACTGTACTCAATATTTTGTAATAACCTATAGGGGAAAAGAATCTGAGGGGCTTCCCTAGCAGTGCAGTGGTTAAGATGCCACGCTTCCATTGCAGGGGGCACACATTCGATTCCTGGTCAGGGAACTAAGATCCCTCGTGCAGCACGGCATGGCCAAAATAAATAAATAAATAAAAAGAATCTGAAAAATAATAGATACACATATGTATAACTGAATCACTTTGCTGTACACCTGAAACTAACTCAACATTGTAAATCAACTATACTCCAATTTTAAAAATAAATAATTTTTTTAACTTTTTAATTTAAAAATTTTTTTAAATAGAAAAAAAGAATGATCATTTTTTACTAGAGGAATTGAAGAGGTTTTATAAGAGAATGAGAAATTGAGCATTATCTTGACATATACATGGATAAAGAGAAAAAGGAGGGAGTAGAAAATGATAAAACAGTTAAGAGAGAGCATGACATGAGGAAACCTGTCAGAAAGGAGCCAGAGCCCTTGAAGAAATATGTAAAGTCAAATGAGTAGAATAGTGGCAGATCGGAAAGCTCTTGAAAGTCAGATAAAGGAATCGTAGAATCTGAGTGGCAGGGTACCTTGGAGATCCTTAGACTTCCTATTTAAAGCCCTTCCCTTCCACCGCACCCACATCAGATGTCTATTTAACTTACGCTGAATTCTTCCTGTGTGGGCACTTACTGCCTTCTCATATGGTGCATTCTTTTTATGGAGAGTAATAACAATGAGGAAATTATTTATGCTATATGCAATAGGAAGGCACTATCTGTTTTTGAATATTTAATCTTTTTTATTTTGTATGTTACAGCTGTACAGCGTAGTGATTCACAATTATAAAGGTTATACTCCATTTATAGTTATTACAAAATATTGGCTATATTCCCCATGTTGTACAATATATCCTTGTAGCTTATTTTATACCTAATGGTTTGTACCTCTTAATCCCCTACCCTTATACTAGCCCTCCCGTCTCCCACTGGTAACCACTAGTTTGTTCTCTGTATCTGTGAGTCTGTTTCTTTTTGTTATCTTCACTAATTTGTTGTGTTTTTTTTTTTTTTTCTTGTTCTTTGATTTGAAACAAATGTCTCTGTCTTCTCATTTTACTTAACTTTCTCTGTCTCTGGTGAAACAGTTACTTATCCTGGTCTTGAAGGGGTGTCCTTTTGTGCGAGTATCCCTATACTGTCTGCATATCCCACTGGCTTTGGTGGGAGACCTGGATCTGATGTGAGCATAAATTCTATCTTCCTTCCCCCTGCATCGGCAGGCGGACTCTCAACCACTGCGCCACCAGGGAAGCCCCTGTTGTGTTTTTTAGATCCACATATAAGTGATATCATACAGTATTTGTCTCTCTCTGACTTATTTCACTTAACATAAGTAGATTTAATGTAGAACATGTAGATTGATAAACATGTTTTAGGGAATTTAATCTGAAATATACCTGCCCAGCGCATTAGGAAAGGGACAGAATGAGTTGTTTCAAATAGGCTTTTTTTTTTAACAGCTTTATTGAGATATGATTCACTTAACATACAGTTCACCATTTTAAAGTATACAGTTTTAGTGTGTTTAGAGCTATATATCCATCACTACAACCAATTGCTAAACATTTTCATTAACCCAAAAAGAAACCCCACACCCCTTAGCTGTCTTCCCCCCAAACCTCCCATCTCCCCCAGCCCTGTGAAACCACTAACCTATGCTCTGTTTCTATAGATTTGCCTATTCTGGACATTTCATATAAATGGAATCATACAACATACGGTCCTTTGTGACTCTCTTCTTTTACTTGGCATGTTTTCAGGGCTCATCCATGTTACAGCATGTATCAGCACTTTGTTCTTTTAATTGCCAAATTATATTCCATTGTATGGATACATCACATTTTATTTATTCATTCATCAGTTGATAGATATTGAGGTTGTTTCTACCTTTTAGCTATTATGATTAAGGCTGCTGTGAACATCCAGGCACAAGATTTTGTGTGGATATGTTTTCAGTTCCCCTGTTTATATACTTAGGAGTGGAATGTCTGAGTCACATGGCAATTCTATGTTCAACCATTTAAGGAGCTGCCAGACTATTTTCTAAAGCAACTTCATCATTTTAGACCCCGACCAGTAGTGAGGGTTCCAGTTTCTCCACATCCTGGCCAACATTTGTTACTGTGTTTTTTATTATTGTCATCCTAGTGGGTGTGAGGTGGTATCTCACTGTGGTTCTGATTTACGTTTTCCTGATGGCTAATGATGTCAAGCATCTTTTCATGTTTTTTACAGCCATTTGTATGTCTTCTCTGGAGAAATGTCTCTTCAAATTCTTTACCCATTTAAAATTTGGGGGGGGGTCTTTTTATTATTGAGTTATATACTCTAGATACAACGTATATTCTATTCTTTATATATTCTAGGTAACAGTTCCTCTTCAGATATATGATTTACAAAATTTTCTCCTATTTTGTGGGTTGCCTTTTCACTTTCCTTATAGTGTCTGGGTTACGTGGTTTTAGTTCTTTAATTCTTCTGTGTTTTTCTTGTTTTCCCTGTTAGATGGTAAACTTGTGAAATTTACATTGTAAAATTCCACAAATCTGGAAACACTCCTTTTCCATCTCTGTTGCATCCAGAGAGTGGTCATAGGTGGTGCACATCTATTACAAAATCTGGCTCCATAGCCAGCCACCTCTGCTCCTAGATGTTTCCCTGACAGATCATTTGATTTCATTCTTGATGAGATACTATGGTTTATTATTTTGTTCTCTTACAGGTGAATCGCTTTAGTAAGGTGGAAGATCGAGCAATTTTTGTTACTGACCGTCACCTGTATAAAATGGATCCCACTAAGCAGTACAAAGTGATGAAGACTATTCCTCTATACAACGTAAGTGTTCTCTGCTTCTCTCTGAATAAAGGATTCTTAACCTGGTGTTCATAGACCATGAGTGGGTCACCAGACTGATCACTAGAACCTCTGGGGCTTTAGGGAGTCCGTGAATTCCTGAAATTTTCTGCCAATCTCATGTTTTATACAAAAGTACGATTTTCTATAAGGAGGATCAAAGGTTCCAATAGAATACGAAGGCATTTTGTTTTAAAGTGTAGGGCTCTGCATTCTACGTGACCTTTATTACTAATCCTAGTCACTACTTAAATGTTATGACATGAAATGTATTTTCTTATTGATTTTCATAAGCCTTGTTTTTACGTGGAAATGGAATCAGGTAGAGAAATAGTACGGAATTACTTTATGAAAACGTTGCCTCTCTTTTAAATGTAAAATGTATGCTGTTTCCAGAAGTTATTTTCACCAATATGTTTTACCTCTGATCGAAACCCGCTTAGTTATTCACTATCTCCATGGGGTTTTCAAATTCTGTAGTCATTCCATGTTTGAAATATGAAATTTGGTGGGTGCCTCCTTGAGTTTCAATTTGAGACTTTAAAAATTTTTTTTATCCTGCCGTATGGGGTCTGCTTTACAAGTGACTGTTTGTTCTGATCTTGAAAAAGATCTTCCTGGACTGCTGGATCTTTCTGTGTCAGGTGACTTTCCTCTGTCCGCTCGTTCTTAAAGAGGGAGGTCTGGGTTTGTCCAATCATGGGATCTATGAGGAGTATTATTTAAAGATTGTTTTAAATCCTTTTCGCCTCTGCAAAAGGGAGTAGGAAACATATTGTTTTATAGTTTTATTTCCTTAAATCAGGAGTCCTGTTGGCTGTGAGGTTCAATGAAGACAAACTATTCCTGGCTTTGCTAAATAATTTAGAACATCCCTGCAGGCCTGTCACCTGATGGTGAGGCTGAGATTTGTCTCCGTCACCTAGTCCCCCCACCCCACACACACATGCATACACACCTTTCTCCCTTTCAGTAGGAAGGTGAATGGATTGCTGCTAAGAAGGAAATGATGTTCTAATACGTTCTTGATCATATGTAGTCTTCTTAGCAAAGACTTGTAATCTTATATAGCCATCACAGTTTAAGCCTAATAACCCTGCAGTCTCGACGAAGGAGATGAAGGAAGATACAGGAGAAAACCAAATTTTGTCAAAGTCTAATAAAGTGTACCTTATTTCTTTTCCTTTCTTTCTATTAAAGGGAAATCAATCAGGCACGTGATACGAGTTCAATAAGTAGTTAACCAGGTCTTTGAACCAAAGTTGTTTTCCCAAACTACCTTCCTTTTTCACGTTGACTGGTGTATATTTAGAGTCACTCTTCCCCTTCATCATCATTATCATCATCAGTGTTATCAATAATATCATATTATACAAAAATTAACCATGTTTTGCCACGGAGCAACTAAGCCCATGCACCACAACTACTGAGCCTGCGCTCTAGAGCCCGTGAGCCACAACTGCTGAGCCCATGTGCCACAACTGCTGAAGCCTATGCCCCACAACTACTGAAGCCCATGCGCCTAGAGCCTGTGCTCCGCAACAAGAGAAGCCACTGCAATGAGAAGCCCGCTCACCGCAACTAAGAGTAGCTCCTGCTTGCTGGAACTAGAGAAAGCCTGCTCGCAGCAAGACCCAACACAGCCAAAAATAAATAAATAATTTTTTTTTTTTTTAATTAACTATGTTTAACACGCCTAAACGATGTCAATAGGATGGATACACACTGTCACAGATGCTGTCGGTACTCTGCCCACCTCCCCTTGTATTTCCTACCATTTTTGTACACAACAGCCTAACTTCTGACAGCCAACACCTTTGTCGAAAGGCTTCCCCCAGGCTGCCAGAGTCCATAGAGGGCTGGAAACGCCCACCCACCCCCAGCCATCCAAATGACTAGTGGGTGTGGGGTATAAATGCTCCATCCCCACCATTCATCGGTCACAATGATTCTCAGGTGCGTTTAACACCATTTGCTGGAGGTTTTCTGTAGGAATTAGCTGCTTAGTAACAGGCCCTACTGGCTGCTTTCTCTTCCTGAGCCACCTGCCCACTCCCTTGCCCGTGTACCTGCACCTCCCGAATCAATTCTGAGGCTCATCAGCCTTTGTCTCAGGACCTGCTTTGGGGAGGAACTACCCTCTTAGGAGGGAGCAGATTGAATGGGACACAGGACTTCCAGCCATGTCTACCTATAAAAATGTTGTTCAGTCTGAAGCAAACACAGCCAGATATTGTCTGGATCATAGGGACATGGGTGTTTGTTATTTTATTCTTTATCCTTTTTGTATGAAATGTTTTGAAGTTACAAACGAAGTTTAAGACAAGAAACCTTTAAAAATGATACTGCTAATAGCAGGGATGAAGAAGCTGGGAGGGGATGAAGGAGAAAGATTTCAATCTTAACTAAGTTGAGTTTTAGGTATTGGTGAAACTTGTAAGTACATACCCCATAGATCACTGGCGTCTAATATTGTAAAGGAGTGGCAGGTAGCATTCAGCACTTAGGATAAAAATTTAAGAGCGGACAGATGCATGTATAATTGGAGGCTGAAATTATGAGTCTAGAGGGAGAAGGGGCAGCTGATTTGAGAACATCCATGCTTAAATGGTGGGGAAAAGAGAGTGGCTGAAGGAAATGGAATAAAAAGGAGATCTCTTCTTTCTGGACCTCCATTTTCTCCTCTCCTAATGTGCCGAATGAGCTCTAATTTCCCTTCAGTTCCATAAGGTTATGAATTATTCCAGGAAGGAAAAGAACTTTGGGAACACTGTGTTTCAGAATCAAGTTGGAAAGTTTTCAGAAATGAAAGTAATCAGTGGAAACATATAGCTGAGGATCCCACAGTTACTCTTCCCCTTCTCTGCTCTTCATTCCTCCTTCTGCCCGGGTGCCTTTCCTGTGTTAGTTGGACTTTTCTGGCTCCAGGGAAGGGATTGGTATTAGCGGGAGGGGGAAATTTCCCTCTGTCCCTGTCGAGTTCCTGTGGCTGGGCTAATAATAAAATTGACACGAGGCAGATTAACAGGAGAAAACCCAACTTAGTTTTGTGGGCACAGGAGATCATAAAATGACGCACAGAGAGCGACCAAAAGCAGGTAACTTTTATGTCTTTGTGTATAAAGAAACAATAAATTTGTGAGGGTCGGACAGGACAGAGAAACTTAGGTTCGGGTGCATAATGACTGGGCCCCAATATGACTATATTCTATCTCAAGTAATGCTTTGCTTTGTTTTTGATAAAGGATACACGTGGTAGTAAGGGAAAGGAATCCCATAGAAACCCAGGAAGCTATTGAGGTTTTAAGGCAGCTCTGAGGGACCATATTATTCCGTGGCCCCCTCAGCAACGTGTTGCTTAAGATGGTCTAAGTTTCTGCCATTCTCTGTCTCTACTTCTCCTTGTGTGTCTTCTTACTAACAATTACCTTTCTTGCCAGATGGGCTGGGCCAGCGCTAGGCTTAGGTCTGAGTCAGCCAACCCAACAAACCATTGGAGTTTCATCCTGCAGTAACATTGAACACCGTGTCTCCGATGAGGCCTCACCATAGCAACCAGTTCTGCAGGATCCAAACTGGTACTTCAGCTCCTTGTCAAGCACTTGCAAATCTATGCACGGTCTTCCCTGACTTCTCCTAGCGTAGCATGGAGAATAACTCCAGTTCATTTGAGGTGTAAATGATCTCTTCCCTCTACAATTTTTGACTGTTGTCCTTAGGCCCCAGCCACGTTTGGACCTGCTGATTATTGAGGTGGGTCATTAGGTTTTCCTAGTGGGAAAGAGG